GATATTAGTAATTCATATATCATCAAAAAATGAGGGTAGTATATGTTAATTTAATTAATAATTTTAGGGGTTAGGCCTAAAGTTGTAAAAATTGGCTAAGGTTTAAGCTGACTAGATGAGTTGGCTCAGGAGTTGACATTAGTCAGCACAGGAGTTGGCTCTAGTCAACCCAATAGTTGGCTCTAATTAGTTGGCACAATAGTTGGCTTGAGTTTAATTTTGAGCCAAAGTGTATTTATTTGTTATTTAACTCAAATTCGCTAATGGATATTATGATAAAAATTAATTGCTTAATATATAGCTAAAATTTGTTCCTTTCATTTGTAATATTGGCTATCCAGAAAATTTCATGAACCTGAATTATATACCCTCTAGCGAGTAGTTATAGCTGTTCAAGTATCGATGAAAAGATCTTTCTGTGCACTACGATTAAGTAACCCCATTACAAACTAGAATAGACAAATGTAATAGACGATATTTTAACCATCAAATTTAATGAAAATTTGTTAAACAATGTTATCTTTTGATTTTTCATATTCATTTTTATATTAAAGATTTTGAGTTATTAATATTTGTGAATAATTATATATTGTCATAGAATAAATAAAATTTTAGTGAAATTGTTACAAAATTAAGTTATACTAATTTTGAAATGACATAGTCAAAAAAGGTGGTACCCACATTTTTCGAACTCGTTAATTTTAAAAATTTATTTTAATCTAAATCGACTCGAATTTCGGCAATAATTATATTTTTTATTAAAACTAATAATATAGTTAACTACAAAATGTCTATAATGATAAAATCAATAAATATCGTACTTTTATAACACTCTAAATAAATTTTTGGGTTGGACCTATAAAAAAAAACTTCACCGATCAGTTAAAACATGACCACCTGAGAGTTCTATAGGATCTAGACTTGGATGCTCGCTTACACAGGCACACACTTGCCACCAATGCAACTTAACCGTTCAACCTAACGCCCGACACTGCCTAAACTGCAGCCTCCACCAAGGTCGTCATCTCCGGCATAAAGCAATTTATAAAATCATCCATAATGCTTTTAATAAGGCTAAAGTATCCAACATACTCAAACCAACCTCACATTACAGGACGGCCTCTGACCCGGCGGTTTAACCTGCACCCCCTGATCCAACGGGAAATCCCTTATTTGGGATGCAACCTGCGTCTCCTCTATTCTTTCATCAATTAATTCAAACCCTCTTAATTGCGGGGAAAATAAAAAAATTAATAAATATTCAAAATTAAATAACTTTATATTTCAGCCAATAGTCATATCAACTAACGGCAATTTTTCACAGTCTACATATTTTTTTTAAAAAAACTTTATCGCGAAAAATTTTTAACCTAAAATCGCGAATTCATATTTCTTAAACAAAAACTTTAACTAGAAATTTTTAAACACAATTAGGTACATATTCATTATTAAATTAAGCTCTTTTCAGAGCCTCCGATATTTACAAAATATATATATTTATTTTTATTTAGTAATTTGATATATTTTTATATACTTGTTTTAATATTTTAATGTTTTATCATTTTTTTTATTTAAAGTAACCCATGACCGGAAAAAAATAAAAAAAATAAAAAGATTTGTAAAAAAATATTTTTTAAATGAAATAGAAATTTTTAAAATTATAAAGAATAAATTTATTATTAGATATAACCAGTAGCGTACGCAGAATTTGGTGGGGGGGGGGGGAGGAAGGGGGGGGGGGATAATTAAAATTTTTTTAAATAAAATTATTGTTATTTAAAAATATCAAGCATAAATTTATTAGGACTTATAACTATTTCTAATATACAAATTTAAATTAATATGAATTATAAAAAATTAAATATATAAACCGATATATAAAAATAAATTTGATTTAAAAAATATTAAACGAATTATAACCGGCGGCATATAAATACTTTAAATAAATCTGAATTATAAAATATTAAGTGGATATAACCAGGATATGATGACTATAAAATAAATAATCCATAATAGAAATTTAAATTTTTTTGAGCTTTTAAAATTTATATATAAAGTATAAAAAATCTAAATGTTGGAAATATGAATAATTATATTTTTTATGTAGAAAAATATATAAGACATTAAAAAATGATAGCAAAAAAATATTATAGAAAAATTATATAATGTAAAATCCAATCTTCGTTGGGAGGGAGCTAATTTTTCAATTATCTCATCCGTGTTTGGCGTCAAATGCCTATGAATATTCAATAGGGCCAGACCATTCAACCTACTTTCAGAAGTTGTACTTCTTAGGTACGTTTTTAATCTTCTTAAAGAAGAGAATGTTCTCTCATTAGTTGCAGTACTAATGGGAAGAGTTGCTAATATATATAATAATTTCAATATATTGGGAAAATAATCTAAAAGATGTTTGAAATGATGCAAAGCATCATAGCCTTTTTTGGGACTATATCAACCATAGTTAATCTTTTATACCATAGTTGGCATTCAGCTAATAAAGCATCATGAGATACATTAATGTCTTCATGATAAAAATCTTTCAAATATTTTATTTTTTTTCTATCATCATCTGAAAAAGGTTCAGAGGGCTTTTGCGGAGGTAATATCTGCAGATTGATAAGTGTTTCTTGATAAATTAAAAACCTTTCATTTACTTGGGTTATAAATGTATCCAAAAGAGGTATAAAGACATTTATTTTATAATATTCTTCTATTGACCCTATATAAATATTTGGACGATAAGTTTGCCTTACTGTAAGTCGAGGGAGACAAATATTGAACTCGTATAGCTCTGCTTTTGATTCAACATTAACATATAAAATATGAAATTCCTCATCAGCATTAGCTCTAATTTCTTTGAGTTCTAATAAAATTGTCTCTGCTATTCTCATCATCTCAATCAAATCAATATCAGGTTTTTGAAAAGTATTACATAAAATAGTTGTATAATTAAATAATTTATTAATACATTCTAATGCGAAAAAAAAAATTGGTATAAATATTGAATCCAGTAACTTGCTTGCTTCTGAAGAAATATCTTTTTCAGACATTGTGATATTTCTATAAGAGCATTAATAATCGGCTCTTCTAACTCGATAAAAGCTGTTACTGCTTGATGTCGAAGACTCCATCTTGTTGGACAAGCTTTTTGCAATTTTTTTCTCCTTGTTGGGCAAGGAGTTTCAGATTTAATTCTGTTCAAAATATTTTGACGCTTGGGGTATCTAAACATCTCATAGATGCTAGATATTTTACCTGATATAAATATAAAAAATTTAATTTAATAATTAAAAACCTAAGCAATTTGATATAATCCGATATTGCTAAGTTGAGTGAATGGGCATCACAGTGGACATATATAGTTGTTGGGCATTTTTTTTTAATAAATGCCTGAAGCCCATTGAATTGTCCACTCATTGCACGTGCTCCATCATACCCTTGCCCACGTATCTTATTTATATTTAGCTATATTTTTTAAAATAATTATATAATAAGATTAATTATTACTTTTAATTTTTTAAGATTCACAAATATTACATCAGCTAAAGCAGACCCAGTCATGCTTTGAAACAGGAATAAATTGGAGAAACATTTCCTTGATAATGTTTTTATGAGTATCTACATATCGCGCACACAACGACATCTGCTCAATGCCAGCAATGTCCGTGGTCTCATCTGCCAAAATTGAGAAGCATGGGGCAGAATTGATTTCAACAATCAATTTTTCTAAAATGATATTGTTGCAAATATCCATTATCTCATTTTATATCCTAGGGCTGAGATAAGTAGCATTTTTATTGGTACTAATGAGGCTCTCAATTAATACAGGATCTCCCAATGCTTTAAATTTTAAAAGTCCACGGAAATTACCTTCGTTATCATTATTATTAAAATTTAAGCTTCCTGAATCCTTGTGGCCACGAAGTGCTAGGCCTTGCTGGCCACAATATAAAATAGCCTCAATAGTTAGTTTTATCTTGCCTCTATTTTCTTTTGCAATTTTAACCCTATTTTTATCAATTATTGATGAAATGGGAATCATACCCTCCTTTTGAATTGATTCTTTTGAGGAAATCATCAGTTCACAGCTTTTGTTTATTAAATTATCATACTATACTTTTTTGCTTTTAGGCATGATTTTCACCTTCAGCGTTTTTAAAAAAAAGTCTAATATCCATGAAATTTGAAAATTATAATACCGGGAAATTTAAAAATAATGGATAAATATTACGCCACAAGGAAAACTTGAAAATGAAATTAATTTATAAAGTAAATTAGTAAATGAAAAAGGTAATAATATAAAAATTTAAAAAGAAATAGTATGAATAATTATAATAAAATATAAAAAATAATATTTTTGAAAAATATTTCCGGCATCTGCATTTTGGCTTTGGTAGGGGGGGGGATTTGTCCCCCTGCCCCCCCCTTCCGCTGCGTACGCCAATGGATATAACACTGTTATCCTATCAATATAAAGAACACTATATCTATCAAATTTATGATTAGTGATAGTTTTGATGGTACTTATACGGTACATTAAATAAAAAATAAATAAAAAATAGATCTTATCACTTGACAAACCATGATATTTTTTTTAATAAACAATAATTTATTTTTATAAAGATAATTAGAAATATTAAAAATAATTGTGCAGATCTATGTAAAAATACTAGTTTGATTTTCTGAAAATTTTTTTAATTCTTCTTTTATAATTAATTGTTTAGCAATTTAAATTGTATAAATTAAATTGTTCCCCATGACTAGTATTATTGTCTTAAAAAATAAAAATGTTAGTGTTAAAACAGATTTTTATAACAATGATAAAATAAATATAATAATTTCTTTCTTATTATTAATTTCTATATATTGGGTGCCAGCTAGACGGCAATAAGTAAAATAAATATATAAAATAATTATAAAGTTATATAGATTTTTCTTTAGCCAGAAGAATAGGTTCATATTTTATATCAAAAAAATATTATGTTGGTTTTGTATAGGTGCTCGGGTCGGTGTTCAGGTCTGCGCTCGGGTTGGTGTTCGCGTTGGCTATCGGGTCGATGCTCAGGTCGGTGCTTGGGTAGATGATCGGGTCTAGTGTTGCGTAATCGGCTAAAAACAACGCCTAAGTCTAAAAATCAGCTAAAACTAAATTAGTCAAAAATTCTGCATCGGCTAATCGTCCGTCAGCGTTCTGTAAGATATGCCTAGCATTAATTATTATATATTTATTTTAGTAAAATAATTTATTTTATTTATATTAATGTAAATATTTTATTATTATCAACAAATAAACATGATATGATTTAATATTTTTTATTTATATTATTATATTATGAAATGATATTTATTTGATGTTTTTTTTAATAAAAAAAATCGGTAACTCACTGAATCACTGGGAAATTTTTAATTTTTTCTTTTTTTTAAATATATATTTTTTATTTCTTTTATTTTATATAATGATAATAAATATAAGATCGTCAGAATTTTGGTAGAAATTTTTTAATGGAAGGGGCAAATCAAATATTGATAAATCTTAAAATTAAATATTTTTCCAAGTTATAACAATCGGAATGAAAATGGATATGATCATTACTGATAGACCCTAATGATATATCAACCCACACTCAACGTATTGAGCGTTTATGGGAGGATCTTAAAGCAAGCATCTCCAGAAATAATATGTGAATATTCCTATTTTCGTATATAAATAAATTAATTAAATTTTGAAATGATATAAATATATATAGAACTATTTTTCCTTAAAAATATATATCTATATTATCATTGTATATATATTATCTTTATTCAAATAAATTGATTAATTATCTAGTATTTGATTTAAGAGTAAATTGTAAGAATTATGAAAATTTTCACAAATAAAATACTCCGTTTTTTTTTAAATTGTTAAATATACTCTGTTTTTTAATATTCTTAAATATACTCCGATTTTTAAATTCTTAAATATACTCCCTTTGTAAATTTTTAAATACACTCCTTTTTTAAAAAATTTTAAATATAGTCCGTTTTTATTGTAAAAATACACCAAAATTCAATTTGAATATGCTCTTTTTTTTAAACTTATGAATTTACTCCGTTTTTTTTAATTTTTAAATATACTCCGTTTTTTTAAATTTTTAAATATACTCCGTTTTTATTGTAAAATTACACCAAAAAAATATCCAAACGATCTTATATTTATTAAATATTTAAAAAAATATTATAAAACATAAATAAAAAAAAAGGGTAGATCTATAAGTCGAAAGGCTGCATGATACGAAAGGCTAAAAAATAATATTGAAAATAAAAATAACAAAGAAAATGATTAATGTGTAATTTGATTGATTTATTGCTTTTTTTAAGAGAAAAATATTATAATAACATTACATTATAATATATTAAAAAAATGGAAATTTTAAGATCTTTTCAATTTTTTTTATTAATTCTTTGAAATAAATTCGGTTTTAATTTTATTAATTTTTAATTTATATTTTTAATTAAATTATATTTATTTATTTAAAAAAAATGGAATATAATATATTAAAAAAATGGAAATTTTAAGATCTTTTCAATTTTTTTATTAATTCTTTGAAATAAATTGCGGTTTTATTTTTATTTAATTTTTAATTTTTATTTTTAATTAAATTATATTTGGTTATTTTAAAAAAATGGATTATAATATTTCAATTTTTTTATTAATTCTTTGAAATAAATTGCGATTATAATTTTATTTAATTTCATTCATTTTTAATTTATATTTTTAATTAAATTATATTTGGTAATTTTAAAAAAATGGATTATAATATTTGAATTTTTTTATTAATTCTTTGAAATAAATTGCGATTTTAATTTTATTTAATTTCATTAATTTTTAATTTTTATTTTTAATTAAATTATATTTGGTTATTTAAAAATTATGGAATTTTTAAAATTATATGTATATTCTATTTAAGTTTTTTTTCAAAACTAAATTGATAGTAAGTATAACGATATTGTGAGTACTGGATTAGGGAAAAGACTAACATCTTAAACGTAATTTTAAGTATCTTTATATCATTCTACTCAGAATTAAATTTCCTATCCAATTATGCTTAGATATATTTTTTTACGTTTCCGGTTCAAAAAATAACATTTTTGTCGCGAAAACGTTCGAAAGGAAAAGGCTAACATCTTAAGTTTAATTTTATAAACTTTTATATCATTGAACTCAGAATTAAATTTCCTATTGAAATATGCTTTGATGTATTTTTTTACGTTATCGGTTCTAAAAATAAATTTTTTGTGGTAAAAACGTTATAAGGGAAAAAGCTAACATCTTAAACGCAATTTTAGGTATTTTTATATCATTCTACTCAGAATCAAACTTCCTATCCAAATATGCTTAGATGTATTTTTTTACGTTTCCGGTTCAAAAAATAACATTTTTGTCGCGAAAACGTTTGAAGGGAAAAGGCTAACATCTTAAGTTTAATTTTATAAATTTTTATATCATTGAACTCAGAATTAAATTTCCTATCTAAATATGCTTTGATGTAATTTTTTACGTTATCGGTTCAAAAAATAAATTAAAAAAATTTTTTTGTGGTAAAAACGTTGGAAGGGAAAAGGCTAAGATCTTAAACGCAATTTTGAATATTTTTATATCATTCTACTCAGAATTAAATTTCCTAAAAAATTATGCTTAGATGTATTTTTTTACGTTTTCGGTTCAAAAAATAACATTTTTGTCGCGAAAACGTTCGAAGGGAAAAGGCTAACATCTTTAGTTTAATTTTATAAATTTTTATATCATTGAACTCAGAATTAAATTTCCTATCTAAATATGCTTTGGTGTATTTTTTTACGTTATCGGTTCAAAAAATAAATTTTAATAATTTTTTTGTGGTAAAAACGTTGGAAGGGAAAAGGCTAACATCTTAAACGCAATTTTGAATATTTTTATATCATTCTACTCAGAATTAAATTTTCTATCCAATTATGCTTAGATGTATTTTTTTAAGTTTCCGGTTCAAAAAATAACATTTTTGTCGGGAAAACGTTCGAAGGGAAAAGGCTAACATCTTAAGTTTAATTTATAAATTTTTATATCATTGAACTCAGAATTAAATTTCCTATTGAAATATGCTTTGATGTATTTTTTTACGTTATCGGTTCAAAAAATAAATTTTAATAATTTTTTTGTGGTAAAAACGTTGGAAGGTAAAAGGCTAACATCTTAAACGCAATTTTGAATATTTTTATATCATTCTACTCAGAATTAAATTTCCTATCCAATTATGCTTAGATGTATTTTTTTACGATTCCAGTTCAAAAATTAACATTTTTGTCGCGAAAACGTTCGAAGGGAAAAGGCTAACATCTTTAGTTTAATTTTATAAATTTTTATATCATTGAACTCAGAATTAAATTTCCTATCTAAATATGCTTTGATGTAATTTTTTACGTTATCGGTTCAAAAAATAAATTAAAAAAATTTTTTTGTGGTAAAAACGTTGGAAGGGAAAAGGCTAAGATCTTAAACGCAATTTTGAATATTTTTATATCATTCTACTCAGAATTAAATTTCCTAAAAAATTATGCTTAGATGTATTTTTTTACGTTTTCGGTTCAAAAAATAACATTTTTGTCGCGAAAACGTTCGAAGGGAAAAGGCTAACATCTTTAGTTTAATTTTATAAATTTTTATATCATTGAACTCAGAATTAAATTTCCTATCTAAATATGCTTTGGTGTATTTTTTTACGTTATCGGTTCAAAAAATAAATTTTAATAATTTTTTTGTGGTAAAAACGTTGGAAGGGAAAAGGCTAACATCTTAAACGCAATTTTGAATATTTTTATATCATTCTACTCAGAATTAAATTTTCTATCCAATTATGCTTAGATGTATTTTTTTAAGTTTCCGGTTCAAAAAATAACATTTTTGTCGGGAAAACGTTCGAAGGGAAAAGGCTAACATCTTAAGTTTAATTTATAAATTTTTATATCATTGAACTCAGAATTAAATTTCCTATTGAAATATGCTTTGATGTATTTTTTTACGTTATCGGTTCAAAAAATAAATTTTAATAATTTTTTTGTGGTAAAAACGTTGGAAGGTAAAAGGCTAACATCTTAAACGCAATTTTGAATATTTTTATATCATTCTACTCAGAATTAAATTTCCTATCCAATTATGCTTAGATGTATTTTTTTACGTTTCCAGTTCAAAAATTAACATTTTTGTCGCGAAAACGTTCGAAGGGAAAAGGCTAACATCTTTAGTTTAATTTTATAAATTTTTATATCATTGAACTCAGAATTAAATTTCCTATCTAAATGTGCTTTGATGTAATTTTTTACGTTATCGATTCAAAAAATTAATTTTAAAAATTTTTTTGTGGTAAAAACGTTGGAATGAAAAGTCTAACATCTTAAACGCAATTTTGAATATTTTTATATCATTCTACTCAGAATTAAATTTCCTATCCAATTATGCTTAGATGTATTTTTTTAATTCTGAGTTCAATGATATAAAAATTTATAAAATTAAACTAAAGATGTTACGTTTTCGCGACAAAAATGGAAACGTAAAAAAATACATCTAAGCATAATTGGATAGGAAATTTAATTCTGAGTAGAATGATATAATAATACCTAAAATTGCGTTTAAGATGTTAGCCTTTTCCCTTCCAATGTTTTTACCACAAAAAAATTATTAAAATTTATTTTTTGAACCGATAACGTAAAAAAATACATCAAAGCATATTTAGATAGGAAATTTAATTCTGAGTTCAATGATATAAAAATTTATAAAATTAAACTAAAGATGTTAGCCTTTTCCCTTCGAACGTTTTCGCGACAAAAATGTTATTTTTTGAACCGGAAACGTAAAAATATACATCTAAGCATAATTGGATAGGAAATTTAATTCTGAATAGAATGATATGAAAATATTCAAAATTGCGTTTAAGATGTTAGCCTTTTCCCTTCCAACGTTTTTACCACAAAAAATTTATTTTTTGAACCGATAACGTAAAAAATTACATCAAAGCATATTTCATTAGGAAATTTAATTCTGAGTTCAATGATATCAAAATTTATAAAATTAAACTAAAGATGTTAGCCTTTTCCCTTCGAACGTTTTCGCGACAAAAATGTTATTTTTTGAACCGGAAACGTAAAAAAATACATCTAAGCATAATTGGATAGGAAATTTAATTCTGAGTAGAATGATATAAAGATACTTAAAATTACGTTTAAGATGTTAGTCTTTTCCCTAATCCAGTACTCACAATATCGTTATACTTACTATCAATTTAGTTTTGAAAAAAAATTTAAATAGAATATACATATAATTTTAAAAATTCAATTATTTTTACATAACCAAATATAATTTAATTAAAAATATAAATTAAAAATTAATGAAATTAAATAAAATTAAAATCGCAATTTATTTCAAAGAATTAATAAAAAAATTGAAATATTATAATCCATTTTTTTAAAATAACCAAATATAATTTAATTAAAAATATAAATTAAAAATTAATAAAATTAAAACCGCAATTTATTTCAAAGAATTAATAAAAAAATTGAAAAGATCTTTAAAATTTACATTTTTTTAATATTTTATATTCCATTTTTTTAAAATAAATAAATATAATTTAATTAAAATTATAAATTAAAAATTAAATAAAATTAAAACCGCAATTTATTTCAAAGAATTAATAAAAAAATTGAAAAGATCTTAAAATTTC